CATCTTATATCATCATCATTGATCAATAATCTCGGGTAAGCAATCTCAACAAGCCTCTTTATACTTTCAATCTTAAAATATGAGTCATACACAGAATCATGTGCTGATTTTTTGTTATCTAAAATTGACATCAAATTGTTTTTTAAACATGTAAAACATGCTCTAGAGTATAAAAGGTAAAGTAAAATGTGCTAAAGTGTATCACAGTTTAATTTTTAAGTTAGACATTTTGAAAAAATGTTTCCTCAATTCATCATTCTTCTGTTCATTGCTTCGGCAGCTTCTGCCCTACAAGTGAAGTTCAAGGATTGCGGTAACATTCAATCTTTATTTTTAATCAAATTAGCACAACTAAATTCACTTTCCCCCAATCACAGCTCACCATGAAATCAGCCTCATCGAGGTGATTGGCTGCGTGGGCAACAACCCCAACGTCTGTCCGCTGCCAAAGGGCAAGGACTTCAAGCTGACGATGAACTTTGTGGCCAACCAGGACAGCGCCAAGGCGACCTTCAGATTCACCGCCGACGTGGGCGGCATAAAGATTCCCGTGCCGGGCATCGACAGCGACGCCTGCCACCACCTGAAGTGTCCGCTGGTGAAGGGCGAGAAGTACGCCTACACCTTCACCATGCAGGTGCCCAAGATCGTGCCCAACCTGAAGGCGGTGGTTCGCATGGAGCTGGTGGGCGACCACGGCGCCCTGACCTGTGCCGACATGAACGGCGGCGTTTCAGACTAATCATTTTAAAGTTTTACCGTTTTTTGTATTCTTTAACACCTTTTTACTTCTACTGTAGCAGACGGGCCCAGCAGGCTACTACAACAATAAACTTTTTTTTAATTTTTTAACATATAAAATCTTTTATTTTTAAAATCAAAGAAAAGTTTCAACATTTTAGCATTTGCATTTGAGTGTATGTGTATATCAAAAGGCAGAAAGGTATAGTATATAAACAAATGAAAAAGAGAAAGTTCACCTACTTTTTCATAGCAGACCGGCGTCCTTGGCCAGCGAGTGAAAGAGCGAGCTGCTGTCGGCGAGCAACGCCTCCGGACTGTCAAACTCCACGACGCGGCCCTCGTGCAGCGCGAGAATGCGGTCATAGGTGAGGACGGTGTGCAGGCGGTGGGCAATGGTGAGGACGGTGCAGTGGGCAAACTCACGGCGGATGGNAGCGCGAGAATGCGGTCATAGGTGAGGACGGTGTGCAGGCGGTGGGCAATGGTGAGGACGGTGCAGTGGGCAAACTCACGGCGGATGGTCTCCTGCACCAGCGCGTCAGTGGCCAGGTCGACGGCGGCGGTGGCCTGGAAAACAAAAATTTTAAGTGATAACTTTTTAAATAACCAAAAACGCCAAATTACCTCATCGAGGACGAGAATCTTCGCCCGTCGAAGCAGCGCCCGTCCCAGGCAGAGCAGCTGCCGCTCGCCCTGCGACAGATTGGAGCCACCCTCGGCGACGGCGGCGTCCAGGCCGCCGGCCATCGCCGCCACCGTCTCCTTCAGGTGACAGCGCTCCAGCGCCGTCCACAGGACCTCGTCCTCTGAAACCGAAACCGAATCCCCTCCAGCAGCAGCCGTTCCCAGCGGATCGAGGTTGGAGCGAATGCTGCCGGAGAAGAGCACCGGGTCCTGGGGAATGATGGCCAGGCGAGAGCGCAGCTCGTGCAGGCCAATCCGACTGATGTCCACGCCGTCGATGGTGATGCGGCCGCCGTCAAAGCCGTCCTCCTCAGCGCTGGACGCCTCCAAAATTCGAAAGAGCGCCAGCGTGATGGTCGACTTGCCCGCCCCTGTTCGCCCAATGACGCCCACCTTCTCGCCGGCCTTAATGTCCAGGCTGATGCCCTGGAGAACCGGCTCCAGGCCGGCTCGGTAGCGGATCGAGAGGCGTTCTAAGGTTATCTGTCCTTCAGTGGGCCAATTGGCGGGCAGCCGCGGCTGGGCGTTCTCCGCCCTCGTCCACGCCGCCTCCATGGGCAGCTCGCTGTACTCGCCGATGCGCTCCACCGAGACGATCGACGTCTCCATCTCACAGGAGTTGCGCACCAGCCACTTCAGACTGCCGGTGATGCTCATGGCGTAGCTGATGATCAGGCCAAAGTAACCGGGGCGGTCGGCAAAGGAGGCCCGCGAGGCGACGCCGATGACGGCGGCGAAGAGGACGACCAGGTTGCCGCAGAGCTCCATGCGGACGCTCATCCACCGATTGGCGGCGATCATCGCCCACCAGACGCGCTGGTTGAGGTCCACGTGGCGGTTGGAGGTGCGAATGAAGCGCCGCTGGTGGCTGAAGGCTCGGATGGTGGCCATTCCGCTGAGGCTTTCCGCAAAATGCGAGAAGATGGGCGAGCTGGTCACCGACTCCAGGCGGGACAGCTGGCGGTAGGTGGCAATGTAGTAGCGCTAATAATAAAAAGAGAGAAAAGATTAGATTAGATTAGTGCTTCCAAATCTCTCCTATCAAAAGCAAAGCCATTTCCACTTACCTGGATCATGTAGTAGAGAATGGCGACGATGACCACTACCACAGCGAGCAGCGGAATCTGAATGACGATCATGATGATCAGGGAGAAGACCTGCAGCAGGCAGATGACCCAGCCTTCGAGGGCAAAGCGAATGCGACTGTCAATAGTTGAGAGGTCCTTGCTGAAGCGGTTGATGATTCGCCCCAGCGGGGTCGTGTCAAAGAAGGACATCGGCGAGCGCATGATCCGGAAGAGGAGCTGCCGGTGGAGGGTGACCGAGCTGGCCGCTGAGCCGAAGGCGAGGGCGATCCACCCGACCAAGTAGAGCAGGTTGTGGGAGAAGCCGAGGACGCCGTACACGGCAAGGCGCTCATTTCGAAGCGAAGTGGCTGCAGAGTTCGAGGAGTTTGAGGTAGAGTTTGCCACATTGACGGCGGCGGCCGCCGCATCACTGGACCAGATGGCCAGCCAGAGGTCGGTGCCCACGTAGGCGACTTGCATCGCCAGCCAGCTGAGGCCCAGCACCAGCAGCCAGGTCACCCGCAGCGACTTGAAGTAGTTGAGGTAGACGCTCATCTTCACGTCGCCCTCCTCCGCCTTCTCCTCCTCAATGAGGACGTCCTTTTCGGCAGCGGCGGCTTTCTGACTGAGCTGTCGCTCCATCTCCACCTTCTTCTTCTTTTTCTTTTCTTCAGATTCAGCTTCAGTCTTCTCATGATTATCATCGCCTCCCTCTTCGACGACTGCCTGCTTCGCGTGCTCTCGCATAAAGGCGGCAAAGGCGCCGCCCTCCGTGGCCATCA